GAAATGAAGCGAGACGGTAGGGGTAAGTGAAGCATTCAGTTTTTCCGATCAGTCAGATAATCCCAAAACTCATGCCACCTTGGTTCGTCCGTATCCTACTGCGTATCGGTTCTAGTCCGGCCTTGTTTTTCGAACAGGTAAGTATCTCCATGCTGAACACTCTTTGGCTAATATTTTCGCCAATTTATAGGAAATTGTCCCTTTGAAAAGATAAAATCTGAGTACTTACGAAAAATCTGAAAAGCCTTTTAGCACTGAAGACTGTTACCGAAATTCAACCAACACTTAGTTGATGATGATGATGATGATCCGATCATCGATCATTTCGCTTAGGTTGTTTGTACCTTGACTTAATTTGTGAAAACAGATAGGTCAAAGCGTCTGATACGGTTTGGTGATATTTACTGTCCTCAAACATGTAATTCTGGTCAAATCCCTGCGACTTCAGGCCAGCAAATCACAATCTCCCCTACTTTCATCATCAGGCTCTTCGACGTTAACGCCTTGAACCCATGCAGATTCATCTGAGATCCATCACTAGAATTCATATGCAAACAATCTGATTCTGTCTGCTCACGTTTCTAATCAGATGAAGCACCTTCGTTTCACTTTCCCTGATAAAACCATAGTTGAGTAAATTGTTAGTAGTACTGTTCACTTCTGAACACCACAACTTCTGTCAGTTTGCCTGATTAGGACTCACGATATCTCGTTGACAGCATTTTATTCGGCATCGTAGGTCAAGTGAAGAGACATCATCAAGGGAAACGCGTGGCGCTGCTGCAACTTTGCACTGATATCTGTGCAAAGATCACTTCACATTATTGATCAGTTACAATAGAAAACATTTCCGGATGGATGGAAAAATCACGACGACCTCACAATAAAAGCCCTCCGACTCAAAGGTTGGTATCCCATGGTCGAAGACCTATACCAGGAAGAATAGTGATGATGCAGTCCAGGACGCGATTTCTAAATAAGTATTGTTGATGTGTTGCTCTTCTTACTGGGAACAGCCGTTTAGCGTTGCCATGAAAAACCGTTCAGCTGTAGCAACCTTCCGGTGCCTAGCTACCATGCCACCAGAAAGGAGCACGAGGGCTTGGATACTGCCATGTTGTCCAAGCCTAGACAGGGGAAATCGAGAGGCAGAGTTCGGGCTCGAAGCACGGACCTTCCGATCAGTAAATTCGCGCCCTAAACACTCAAGCCACCTCGTCCCCCAGGCGTTGTCATAGTCACTGTGCAAACCGAAGAAAGCACAAAAGGTGATTTATCACCCGGCTGCTCGAGACCACGAGAGTGATCAAGAAGCCAGAGGTGGATTCAAGCGTCCGGCTGGTAATTTTTCACCGGGATCCATGTAGCCATATAACTGGTGCCAAAGTGAATGTACTCCGTGAAGCATCAATGCCAACATTGATGTTTTTGTCTTTGATGCTGATGACTCCGTGCCCATTACACCTAGTTTCCTAGTATATCAAGACGGTTACACCACTGCAAACAAGCACTAGACGATTGGTATGAGACTCATACGTAGACGACGAGACATTGGTCACGACAGCCTCTGCGCACATGCTCAACAGTTCACAATATTAAGTGCGTCCACAACTACATGTTTTTTCCTACTTGCCACGCATATCAAAAACCTGAGTGGAAATAACTTGATTAGGTGCAAATCGGACGATGATGAATCGAATAAAACGACAAGGATGGAGTAAGCGTAAGGATAGCCCGATCCGGACACAATGCAAAACAGCTATTTCATCATTCGGAACAAATGGGAACGCGCGACGTGTAAGCAACACTAATAAGATATCATGTAGGCGAGTCACGTGAATGCATTAAGACAGCATGCAGAACTCTAGTCGAATGACTAGGCTGCGTTTATCACTCACGTGGTATTGTAAGTTCACGGGATCGTCGATCGATATGGAAGTAAAGTCAGTCGCCTCGGTCAAACAGCCGGCTGCTTGACAACATGGACGGAAAAATTCTGTACTCTGCTATACATTCCAGCCAATCATTGTACAAAGATAGGAACTCCAACTGTATAACCGTGTGAAATGTCAGGTGTCCAACCTGCGGACCTCTGACAAGGCTACACTTACCTGAGACTCGTAGACATCCTGACTGGTCACGAATCCAATAAGAACCATTGTTGGTAATTTGTTTTAATGTTGGTAGCTCGGGTGCAGTAGTTGGTAATTGATCAGCTCGGCGAACGGATCAACAGCCACCTGATCAACTACCATAAACCAGTGTGTAAACAGACGTCAAGTGAAGGTGGCCGCCTGCGGTGATTAGGAGGCTTATTCGATTCAGAGGGTTAGAAGAATGTGAGAAACAAACATCCCGCGGACGTTCAAAAACCATTCGTGTGCAACAAGTCAAAAAAGCTCTATGGAAGTGAGAAGGTTAGTGACAAAGTGGTTCGCCTACCTCTAAAATAAACTGTCGGATGTTGACCTGTTCATAGACCATGGCAATTCGCCTGCAGATGTTTCGTCACCGAATGAGGAGTACCATTTGACAGTTGGTGAATAAACGGCTGCAAGCAAACTCCCAAGCTCAGCTAGCAGATCAACCAATTAGCACATTCTATATATCGTCAACGAGGTACCTAAACCGCTGGCGACTACTTTGAACAACGATCCACTTGCTCCAGTCATTTCAAGCTTTTGACGAGTAACACGCATATGTATGACGACATCAGAATGTCCAACGGCTTTAAAGACGGATAAGTGCATTCTACCTCTCAGAAACCATCGAGCACTGGATCCTGACGAACTTCCACTCGTCATTTCCAAAGTGGGAGGTGAGTCCTGAAATCGGTGCTTGCCTAAATTGCGTCCCGGGGAACGAGACCGTTCAATACAACTGGGATGAGTCAAAATGGTGTCCAACTTCAAAAAGTGCCACTAATTAGCGTGGAAATCAAGGGATTTCCACTTTGCATCTACAGTTGTCCCGCAGCAGGTTTTGTCCTCGATCGCTAAGCGTTCTAAAAACCAGTACCAGCAGCAGAAGAAGCGGTCTAATACTGCAGTCAGATCGCTTCTACTTTGAAGGTATTGCTGAATGGTTCCAGCATCTCAGAGGAAAAACGAGTTTTACGCTGTTTCAGTATCATAGTATTCAAATCTGAACATGGTTATGACCTCCGACACTCTACCATAGCTGCCAGGACCGAAGTTTTTCAACCGACGGATGCACTGTGGTCATGGTCACCGACACGACGCAGACATCTAACAAGATGCCCTGCATACTCGGGATCAACGGTTTGGATGAGCCCGATGTAAAACTTGCACTAAAGACCAACAGCGTCGTTTGTAACAATACACTACTCCCATGATTGCCGAAAATTCTTCGACCGTAAGAATAGTGTATTACGTATATACATGTATCGCGATATCTCGAATATCGTCAAAACTGGAATGTGAGGCGGCCTGGTGCATCACATTCAGTTGCTTAAAAACATCATAGACTAGATATTCAGTTGGGTTCCAGGTGAGTCTCTCACAAGACCGAATTTGTTTGCAAATGTGTATTTCGCTAACCTCGATGAAGCACCAATCAGAGTGGGTATTCTTCGACTTTTTTTTAGCTCACAAATGCCTTAGTTCTAGCGGTTACAGACGATTTCGTCCGTGACATCCATTACTGCATCAGTCGACTTCGTCAATTTCACATTACGAATCCCTTGACATTTGCATATTCAACCTTGCATTTACATGCTGAGTTGATTCGCCAGCTGATTCAGTCCCTATATCACCTACCTGTTTCACTTTAAATTATTGGTCGTTTCAGAGAGGCCTGTGATGTGTCAGTCACACACCGTTGCCGGCGCTTTACACACAAGTGGTGCTCAATTCGTCCATCTCATTTCTCAGTTTTCCGAAGAACAAGAGCAGCGATGTACACGTCTGTGCTCGTGTTTTTTTCTGGAAAATCGGAGAAGTTAGGTCAGTAAAATTACGACACATATGAACAGATCAGATAAAAATGACCTATTAGGTTGCTAGTGGGGGATTCTGGTGAACCAAAGGTATCCTTCTTGGGAGAATTCTGTGATTAGAGAGGCAGAATTACCACTGTTCGAAATGTCCTTCCTTTGGTGACTTTTGGCCTCAAGTTCAAACGCTCTTCTAACAAAAGAGTTCAATGGGAATACACAAAAAACCGTTCAGTTGTAACACCCTTTCCGGGCCTAAATGTCATGCCACCAGAAGGTAACACCAGGGCTGGGATACGGCGAGGTCGCCCAAGCCTAGACAGGGGAAGTCGAGATGCACAGGTCGAATTCGAACCACGGACCTTCCGGTCAGTAAATTCGCGCTCTAACCACTGAGCCATCACCGAAAAAAACTGGCCTCCAACATTAGGTGAACGGACCTGGTCTGGTGACTCGTTAACTGAGCGTTCACAAACACACCATTTGAGGTGAAACCTGTAAAATTCTCCCAAGATAAACAACGGTTAGAAAGCAGTGACATCACCAAGCGGCAGACCTCTTAAATAGAAGCGCCGCCCGGATTTCTGGACCTTTTCGTTGCGTTCAACCTGCATCTCCAATGTGTGCATTATTTTCTCACACATGAAAACATCGTTAAAGAAAAAAGCTTCATGTTCCTGTTATTCAGCTAATAGTGCAGAAACTACGTCTGAAAAGTGGCTGTCGATGACTTGGTTCGCACAGTACCGCATGCACTGCGGAGCCACATCGCCTTCAGTGCTCAAGCCTATATTTAACGACGCAAAACAACTGAAGAGGTAGGAACGATGAACACTGACGGGTTGAATACTTTTAACCGTACCCAAACAAAAGAAGTTAGCGCTAGAGCAACCACTCCAATGCGTAAATCGCTATGGCGAAACTCTCACTGTGCATGGACGTGCACCATCGTCAGACCTAAAAAAAGACAACTTTACACGAGACAAGTAAACAAAAGCCCCTTACTGGATAAAGGTGTTCTGGAGAAACAACTTACGGAAGTAAGCTGCCGATAGCAAAATGCCACTTGTCTCATTTTCGTGGCCCACATCAACCAGTTCAAGAACAATTCTAAATAGATAGAGGCCTCAGACATCCTAAATCTGTCCTCTTATTCCAAAAGTAAAGGGAAAAGTAATGGAAAAATTACTTCAATTTCCCAGTGTCAATCAGAAGACGAGACAGTTACGAAAGCCGATACGTTGGTGCTACAAAGGACAACACTGGATACCAACGCACTAGGTTGGGAAGGAAGACGCCAATAGACTCGATGCGAATCATTGTCTGGGTTGTACAAGGTTGGAAGCAAAATATCGATTCACGAGAATCTGGTGCTTTGGGGACAAAGAGTGTGCGGGAAAGTTCTGATTCCAAACAAAAAATAAGGATTGATTTCTCCCTAATACGGCAGACAAAATGCGCGAGGAACGGTGTACACAAGTCCCAGATATTGTCATTTGTGGTCACCGTGATCTGAAGTTTGGAAAGTCTGCAGTTTTTTTTTCTTTCTTTGAAAGTTAAATGATGCTAAAAACTCAGGAGCACAATGATCGGAGAGGGTAACGCAGGATCGGAGTACCACATCACTTAGTCAGCTTCCCCGTAGCCGGAGCTGGGGGGCCTGTTGCTGTGGCCGTCGTTTTTCGAACAGCAGACTGGATTGGTGCATTAGGCTTAGCATTCCCATCGTTCGGCGCAGACTTTGTGGAGGACGGACCACCCTGCGGTAGGGATGCGGTCAAAGTGTCAATCATGGTCTTAGCGTACTCCAATCGCTTGAGGAGATCTTGAATTATACCACCGGTTTGAAGCATTTGGAATTGGTAGGTCTTAAAATCACGATTCGAGTCAATATACGTCACGGCACGCATCAGGGGACAGAGAATGATTTTCGCATGATCCTCGAAGAAATTGATCTGGGTCACAAGAAACGAAATTAGGAAGGGATGACATCACAGCTTAACTGGACCGAAGCAGTGTAGACAAACATATTGAGACAAATTGGCTGAACGCAAGCTACAGTTGAAAGTCACATGAACGGTAGGGATTTGGTGACCGAGTCACAATGGGTACATATCATTAGAGAGTCAACCCTTCGCGGAGACAATATCGGAACAAACCAGTACACATTACTATTGATCGGATTGAGATGATTGTATGGTAACAAGAGAGATTATTCTGTACAACTTTAAGACCTGGGCAGATTGGACCGCATTACATATTTCGTTTAATTGGGAGGAGTGTAGAGGCAAGGACACCACTCGTGGGGCACGCACAGTTTTATAAGGATACGTTTCTTAAAAAGATGATTGTAACCAATCCCAGTAAAAGATGCCGTAAGTGTACCTAGCCCCCCGTTATGTCAAGACATTCTGCTCCAGCTTCAAAAATTGGCACAACACACCATGTTCACGAGTGTATTGACTGTCCCATGTCCAACGCTCCGGAGGGCTGCCGCCCTCCTCACAAACTAAAAAGTTCTTGCATCACATCTGCAAGTTAATAGAAAATCAAAATGTCAAAAGTTCTTGGACAAACTGTCTTCTGTTAATTACTAGTCATTGTGCTCATCGAGATAAAGGTTCTCCGTCTGATTAATATAGTTAGGTTCAGTTCGGCCTAGTTGACACAAACGAGGTATCAAGGGTACATTGATTCCACTCTCCGAAAAATGGGGCAGGAAGAGGATATGTAGCAGATGATGGGATAATGTGTTAGTTTGTATGGAATGAGCCTAGTTAATTGAAGGGACAGGAAACTGGACAGCTAAACAGTGAAGTCGCGAGCTTTGAAGCAGGAGTGCCACTCACTGTGTGACGGGACCATTTCCGTCAGTTTTGTTGACCACTGCTGAGTGGAGTCCCATGGTCATTAACCAGGAAGGCAACGGCTGTTAACCCGATTGAATTTACTGGTTAGTGATTGCATACTTCGTTGCCAGGTCATGAGTTGTCCGTCTCTCATTCATTTCCACTCAGCACACAGCTAGACAGAGAACCCTCCAAAAGAGACCGTCTCCGGACGGGCGGAACATGCAGCCTAACAAAACTAACTTCTATCAACAGCTAAAAAATGGGAAATAAGATTGTTGTTACGTATCCGACACCTCTCGACCTTAAGCAAAATAGTGTACCTAATAAGCAATACACAATCTATGCGAATAAATCAGCCGACGTTGGAAAATCACCTGACACAGAAAGCGAAATTCAGTCAAGGGTGGGTTAGAAGACAAGCAGGCTAGTTGCTGGACGATGCACTACTACTCTTCGTTCTAAAGACCCTTCCCATAAAGTTCCTTATCATGTACAGAACTCGAGAATAAACCGGTAATCTAAAAATCCGTCCACCCAAGTTAACACGCTTCGTAGTTCCTGATCGAGACGCTTCTTTTTTAGTCCAATATCTATCCGCTGACTAGCGCAGGCGACTAGACTTTATTTGAATATATTGAAGCTGAACTATTAGCCTTAGTTCCAGAGACGTCTCGCTTTGGCCCTAAGTTGGCTAGTGAAACACCAACCCTAGAGCACCAAACGCCATTTCGGCCTCGCAGATGCTGCGTTGACCAAATCTTCACACCATCAGGGGCTAGAACAACGTCATAAGTACATATGACCCACGATTTCAGTAGTTCTGAATTTCCAAGGCGTATTAGACTTGGTTGACCGGTCTGTTCACCACAACACGCTGGCCAACCCAGGAATGCCCCCAGAAGATTGTGATCACAAGTTCTCTCCTTTCTTAGACTCTCTAACGTATATTCAGGGCTATCCAAAAGCTTCCGTACACAAAACGATATCCGCCGAGGATGCCCATTCTCTCATTCCTATTTAACTTATTAATCGATGAAATATTGAGACGAACACTGGAAGGTTTTCGAAACCCCGGTGTTCAAACCCCTGTGACGAAAATCTCACCAACCTACAATATGCAGACGGCATCATTCTCCTCTTCGAAGAGAAGGCACAGGTGTTTTTGGGTGAAGTGATCGTCTTTTGGTATACAGTTTGCACCCACAAAGTGCATGATCACGCTCCTGGATATGCAGTCACTGAACACGCCATTTACAATCCAGGGAGAAGCACTCGAAGTTGTGGAGCGTTTTAAGTATCTTGAATATTGTATCAGCTCTGATTGTAGTGATATACGAGGTTTATGAACGATCTGTAAGGCTCAGGTGGCGTTTTCAAACTTTAAATACCTATGGCGCCAAAGGGATATACCCATGAATCTCAAGAGGCGTGTGCATCAGGCTACAGAGTACGGGCTATTTTGTTGTACGGCTAGGGCTTGGTCTCTTCGAGCAGCGTAACTGAGACATCTTCAGATCTTCGACAATCGTTGCCTCAACCATAGCTCGTGTACCCTAATCAGCAACGAGGTTATTAGGAATCATGTTTGGTAGAAAACGGGAACTTCAGTTAAAAAATGTGTCCAGCACCAGAACCTTATTTGGTTAGGCAGAGTATTGCGTATGCTGAACCATTCTTTACCGAAGAGAGTGCTGTTTTCTGTGCCCAATTCAGAGTGGCGGAAGCAGAGAGGTGTCCAACTCTTAACCTGGCAGACAGGTATGAAAGAGATCACGAAACGTTTGGGTGCTACTCGCCTTCCAGGATGGGGACGGCGCGATCCCCACTGCGCCTGGTTGCAGATGCTGCAAGATATGCCTACTAATCGACGTCAACGGTGTTCTTGCTGTAAGCTTCTATCCAGATTGCCTAAATGAGTGTCTGGAGGTGTATGTACCTCGGAATTATTGTAGTAAGCTAGCACGAAGTCCCTTTCATAATAATATAAATATTATAGAAGGGACTTAAGGCCAGCTTACTACAATCATTCCGAGGTGCATACACCTCCCTTCTCGTTCACTTTTATTCTTTTCCTCACAACGAAACTTTCAAATGAATAATGCTTGTACGGCAACAAAGCACCATTGAACACTGATATCATGCTGTCGATAATGATGATAATGGCAGAAGGGTGTGAGGGAGACAACGAGTTCAGGTGTTGCTGGTGCGGTCCGCCTTCGAGGATAGGATCTGAGTGACCCCACCTGCAATTGGATGTGGACATTGCAAGAAATGGTGGCTGATCTATATTAGTAGCCTTTGTGCTGCTTGGTGTGGACGCCTCAGAATGCATGCGACAGGCCAGAAAAAGGCCCTCTCGCTAACGTACTGTCTTATCCTCTGAAGTCTTGAATATAATTGGACAAACCGTGTGGTTGTACGGCGGTGAAGCATCAGTGTCAACAGTGATGTAGCTGTCTATGATGCAGTGACCTTTATTAATTCGGCACCGAAATATACAAACCGTGGGTTGTACGGCGGTGAAGCATCAGTGTCAACAGTGATGTAGCTGTCTATGATGCAGTGACCTTTATTAATTCGGCACCGAAATATAACTTAGTTAAGAGGCGATCATCGCACATGAGTAGAGTTGGTTAGAGCAAATCGGTCGGTTCAGAAAAAAATGAACATTTCATAGAGGGTCGTTGGGAATACGACTGCATTAGAACTTAATAATGATTGGGTAAAAATTTAGACGACGACTATCATCGAAGGTATGGCAGTTTCCCCACTGCTAATACCCGATGGATAAGGGGAATAAAGCACGTCTCTTTGATACCGTGTGGAAATTTTTCACACCAAGCACCAACCACCCAACCTGCGAAAACGATTCAGTTTCACAAGCTCTGGACATTTGGTAACATGGGGTGACTTATAAATTTCTAACACATTCACTGTTCCTGAGAGTTTGATTATCCCTGTTCAATACCAAAAAACTACAACCTACTGAAAATGGTAAGAGAGTAAGAGCTAGGAAAGCGCTGACGGGTGCAAACAAAAGGAATAATGAATAACAACGATCCCCTGAGGCAGAAAGAGCCGAAAGATCCACGACGAAAACAATGGCTAATGTACCGCAGATGCAGCACTTTTGATGCCACATAAAGGTGAAGACAGAAGAGGACAAAGAGGTGGATGCAAAGCACAGTACTCGAAAACATTACCTGGAGTGTGCCATTGCTCAGGTGTAAAACCATAGCGGAACGGGTACGGAACCACCGACGTAGAAAGGGCAGTCGCGCCAAGTCATCCGAGTCACGACGAGCAACGTTTTCGCCTGCCTGAAAATTAAAATGCGTCCAGACAAAACAGTTACATTTCAGGGTGAAGCTGTACATGTACAGACGACAAAACATATTAAGCAGAGAATAGAACTTCGTTAAAAAAAGTCGCGAAATAGAGTTGATCGAGTAGACGGTGGGACGGCGTTGGTCAGCTAGTACGTAGAATCATTCGCTCTCCAGAAATACCATCAGTCGGAGTCCACAACACCGTTGTCCGTGGGTCACGACCAGAGAAAGATAACAAAAGGACCATCCAGGAGAAACAAATCTAACACCGAGATTTCTGCCAATCCCAATCCAGTCACAAATAGTGTTTAGATCGAGTGAACCATAATTAATCAACAACCGCGGTGTAGGAGACTCCTTGTGACATTCATCTGGAAGAATTTAATGAGTAGTAGGCGGCCGAATCGTACGGCAACGTCGTTGACCAATGTCACAGATGGGTCATCACAAATCCTCTAGCCTAGCCCACAGATGTAAAAATTAGATGATCCATGCACTAGGAGTGGAGTGAACCAACTCAGCCGGAACTCCAAGACTACGGCAGCGGTAAATTCCATCAGCTACACACATGCATTTGTCATCAGTTCATTTTAACACATCGGAACACAGGATGAAACAATTAATGATTGGCTATATATGCAGTGCTGGTGACTCCTAACAAGGATGAGACATTACGGTGCCTCTCGGTATAGATTGGTTTTACCTAAATAAACACCTAAATAACTGCACACTGCCAACAAAAAATACGAGCAGCCCAAAGGGTAGAAGAATTCACATAACATGTGAGCCTTCCATGCATCGCTAATGATGATTGGTGTACAATGCTTTTCAACTTTTCGCCCTTGATTGACTTTACTCACAGGATGAAATCTCGATTGGGTTTCATTAATAGAATGACCCGGAAAAATCAGCGAAAAACGTCTCGAAACTGTTAGAGGTCCGGAAGTCCATACATAAACAATCATAGTGGTTGTTCAGCTGTGGCACCACTTCAACGAACAGCTGTTATTCATCATCATCATCAGCAGCAGCATCATCACAAACAGCAACATCATTGTTGACAAGGATGCTTCGCTATCTTACAGACAAAAAGTCCACCTAATTACAATCAAAGCTTTAGAGTGAAGAGAGTGGGTGAGGGAGGGGACCTGCTGCTGGTCTGTCAAGCATTCTGAGGTGCCGAAACCTCCGAACGCTCAATCAGACAATCTGAAAAGAAAGTGCCAGTGACATCCGCCATTATTTACTGAAATGTCTCCAGCTAAGCAGTGTTTACATCGCAGGGTCCTGGACAAAAACCTCTGATTCAACAGTCTGACTGCAAGGCAGCGATGTGTTGACATGAAATGCGAGTTCATCACAACTTTGTTCCGACACGCAACCTGCCAACTTATGCATTGTCTACTTTTCAGTGCGCCATTCTACAGTAGGCAAGTAGGACAGCACTCGTCTCCGTAGATGGTGTTTCGGCATGCGTAGCACATGGCCGAAACAATGCAGTTGATGGTACCGGAAAGTTTTTTGGCTGAAATACCTGTTGCACAACCAAATAACCGTTTTTACTTGCTTCATTACGAATTCGTTGACGCTATCCAACATCTTGCAACGCTTCTGACGCATCGGTGTTCAAATACCTGAGGTCGTCTTAAATCATCTATCCACATAGGCCACGACTTTCACCCCTACAACAACACAACCCTTACTGTAGCGTGGTACACGCGACCCTTAATAGCTAGTGAGGTGGTTTTTTGACGCCACAAGTGACGCAAATTAGCAAACTTGTTTCGAAAATTCGAGATTCTTGCACTGACTTCATCAGATACATTTCAGTAAGCCAGCGAGGTATGTAAAATTTTCCGTAGTCTTCAGTAATTCACCTTGAATTGTAAGGAGTATACTCAGAGACTGCACGTTATGGAACAATACTTCGCACGTTGCAGGTGCAAGGCGCATGCCAAAAGATGGTACGATGGTAGTCAGTTTGTCCAACAAAGCCTGTGGTGTACCTTCGTCCTCGAAGATGACGGCAATGTTATCTGCAATGTTATCGACAAGGCTCTCATGGTCAGCGATTCGGACACCGGAGTTTTGAAGACCTCCCATTATTTCATCAATGACAAGTTGAACAAGAACGGACACGACTTTTGTAGGGACGCCCAGAAGTATGCGATATAGAAATCGGATTATGTTCAGAAACTTCTGGGGTACTGACCGATCGACAGAATCGAACGTACTCTTGAAGTAAAGGAACACCAAGAGTAAGGGTCGTCTGTGCATATGTAGTTGCCTTAACACCTGACGGAGTGTGAAGATGTGGTCAACGCGGCCTCTGCACTGTCGAAATCTCGTTTGATTCTCACAAGTCAAGGTTTCGCGTGCCACCGTAAGATGATGAGGAATCAGTGACGCAAGAAGCCTTGGCACATCAGGAGCCAAACTAAAGCTTCTGTGGTTACAGCATTCACTGCAAATACCTCGGTTGTCTGGGACAGCCTACCTCCCAGGTAAACCCAAATAAACTAGACAGGCGCTGGCTGAGAAACCCACTGTATTCCTTGAACAGAGCAGGTGGAAGGTTATCAGGACCAACAGCACGATTACGTCCGAGATTTACACTCGGACACTTCCGAGGTTGAAGGCGATTCCATAATCACAATCAGTCTTTCCGTTGAAAGCCGTGATTTCGGACTAGAGGTAGCAGGTGGCCGAATGGGTTGTTTTTCGAAGTACTCTGCATAGTGGTTCGAACGTTCTGCTTTGATAGATATCAGGGAGTCATTTCGGTCGCTGACAAGAGACTTCCGAGGACCAGTCGAATGAGTCAAATGGGACACAGCTTGCGCACCTTAGCAGCATTTTTTTGCATCTTCCATTTCTTCAGCCTTTCGGGTCCACCAAACCTGTCAGTCTGTATGGACACAGTTTCACCTGGTGTTGGATGATGCGTCGAGTGGAGTTGTGGTTGCGGCCAGAAGGAATTCGTCAGTGGGCCTCCAGCAAAGACAGTCCTCTCGGAGATCAACGTTTGAATGAGGTTGGTTGCGTTGTACAACAAACAGAAGTTTCGCATCCGAGTAGCACTGCATATATCTGTGACCATTTACATCCGACATCGGACAGTCCTGTAGGCGTTCGAGGAGACAGTTCTGAAAGTTTCGTTTAATCTCTGGGCTGATTAGCTTCTCAAAAGTTAAGCGAGCTGGACGCGTTTTGCGTAGACCTGAAAAGTGCAATGAAAAGCAGACAGTGAACAACCCTCATCTCCGGTAACTGATGGCGATATGATATTCCAAAAGTGGCAGACAGTGATCAACCCTCATCTCCGGTAACTGATGGCGATGTGGTCCAGTTGGATTCAGGGCTGGTTTGTTCGTACGCACCATGTTGTCAAGGTAGTCTGTGGTCGATATATCTGAAACAGGCCATCTCTGTTGTTCGTGCGTCTCGTGGCCAATCTAAGACGACTAACCGATCGGAACTAAATAGCGCTTGGTTTACCTACCCGGATGTTCACGTCACCAGCGACCACAACCATATCTAAGCCCGTTGTAAAAGAGCATCATGGAAACTGTCTTTAGCAGATTCAGAGCAAGTCGGTTAGGACATAGACAGACACAATAAACAAGGTGCGATGAACCTCACTTTCTCAATATTCTTTCACATACGTTGCTAAACGAACGGCGAAGAGGCGCTTTCGATCGGCCGAAGGTTTTTCGTCGTAAGACAGACGATTAACAAACCGTCGGAATTCAGGGAATTTTACAACAAATATATTTCCAACTCTTTCCATCGGAATATTTTCCACCTTGGTCAGAGTAAACGTCTCAGTTTCTGTAACCATGTGCAGCTGACATATTAGCATAGCAATAGGATAAATCATCGATTCCGTCAGCGCCGTCTGAATCACTTCGGACTAGTCGTTAACCAGACTCCGTCAAAGACCGTGAATGACGTGCGAACGATACTTCCGTCTACAGTTACTGTGATTCTCAGGAACTCCGTAAATACCAACATCCTGTTAGTGGCGTCTTTTGTCCAACCCTCTACACCTTCAGCGCATACCACGTATGTGACATCCTCGTGAGTACCACCAGACATCATGAGCTGAGGTATTCACTAAGCCATATCAGGAATTGGTGTAGCAGCAGTATTATGGCAAAGACGGTCACTGTCATGTTTTTATAGTCGGTGAACAAGAAAACTGGTTGGGGACCCTGGTGTTTCCCGTACGGTTCGGTGGGAAGTTAATCGACGGTTACAATGCCGTGCCACAAAAATTTCTCCCAATGGGATATTTAATCTCACGGGAGATTTCCATGAAATGTCACGGAGGTGCCGATTCTACAATTTCACCTCATAAGACAGAACATACCAGATCGTTTTCGGTTGGATTTCAACGGACATTAAGTCCAAGTGGTAGGGATTTAGCTTGAGTAACGTATTCGAAACTAAAGCCTGTATCACCGCAGTCATGTGTTGAGCATTGCTGACTACAAACGGAGCAGTTTACAATGCCAAATTCAGAGCTATGGAAACATAAATGTGGACAACTTATGTCTTGACAGAGAATGGGATGAGGAAAGCCTGGATGATGTTGAGATCCTTAGCGCTATTTCTTTACCTGACTGGAAACTTCACGAAGGATACCAACTGGTGCTATACTCAGATAAGTTGCATGAATCTATGGATGCGCATTGTACGAAACTGGAGTGACTACGTCGTGAGAAGAACACTGAAACTGCTGTACTACGTCTGGGCGTCACAGCCGTGAACATCTAAGCACGGACAAGTGGTTCTCTTATATTAGGCAGTCAGAACACTGAACTGCTGTACTACGTCTGGGCGTCACAGCCGTGAACATCTAAGCACGGACAAGTGGTTCTCTTATATTAGGCAGTCCAAAAAGTACGTGGCGCGTAATTTCAAGGACTTTACACAAGTAAAGCTGTTTCGTTTCATCAGCACTCTGGAGAGGACCCCTTGAATTAGCT